CATCAGACAGAGAAAAGCAGGGCAAAAACGGAAAAGAAGACAGACACACTTACTGAACGAGAGAAAAAGCATGGCACCCATATACTTATCCCTTAGATCAAAATGGACTGTTTAAAAGCACTGTAAAGTCATCAGGAATCTTTCCACTGGCTTAAAAAGTGAGCAGCAAGGAGATTTTAAAATATGAATCATTACTTACTTTGCAATTAAAATTTTGACAATATCAATACATTTCACTATTGTATTTATATATTATTTGATACATTTATGCTATTACAGTTCAGAGGAGATGGAAGCCTATAAGAGCAGATTTTCTGAACTACAGAAAATTCTGTCAATATTGTTTTAAAAATTGTCCTTTATGGACAGAATTAAGCAAAAGGTTCAGAAAATTTTGAATTAAGCAAAATTTTTCTGAGGTTGAAAATATTGCATTTGTTCTAGTAACTTACTAGATTAACCTCTAAGTTGACAGTACTTTCTCCATATGATTTTATTTAGTTAAATATATTGAACTCTATCACAGAATGGTTGAGGTTGGAAAGGACTTCTGGAGATCATCTAGTCCATCTCCCCTGCTCCAGCAGGGTCTCACAGCATGCTTCTACCTTCTCTACGATTTCTTCTTATGTTTTGAGTTTTGTAAGGAGTTCCTTGTATGTCCATGCAGGCCTACTTTCCTTGATTTCTTGCTGACTGGGATCGATTGTTCTTGAGCTAGGAGGAGATGATGCTTGAATATCAACCAGCTTTACTGGACCCTTCCACCTCCTAAAGCCCATGTGATTCTTCCAAGTCAACATTGTGATCCTGTTATTTGCACTGCTCCCTCTTCTCAGGATCATGAGTTCAACTATCTCAAGGCCACTACAGCAAAGGTTGCCCCAACCTTCACATCTCCAGACAGCCCTTCCTAGTTTGTAACTATGAGGTCCAGCACAGAACTTCTCACTGGTTCACCTATCAGCTCTATCAGAACACTGTCATTAGTGTTTTCCAGGATTGCATGTACCTGCTGTTTTATCCCTATAAAAGATACTGGAATGGTTAAAGATCTTAATAAGACCAGGGTCTGTAATTGTGAGACTACTTTCAATTGTTTGTAGAAAGTCTTATCTATTTCTTTTTCCTGATCAGGTGGCAAACACCAAAAACAGTGTCACCCATGTTAATCTGTTCCTTAATCCTTATCCATAAGATCAGACAGAGCTCACAGAATCACAGAATGTTTAAGGTTGGAAGGGACCTCTAGAGATTATCTAGTCCAACCCCTCTGCTCCAGCAGGGACACCCAGAGCACGGGGCACAGGGCGGCATCCAGGCAGGTCTGGAAGATCTCCAGAGAAGGAGACTCCACAGCCTCCCTGGGCAGCCTGTGCCAGGCCTCTGTCACCCTCACAGTCAAGAACTTCTTCCTCACATGGAGATGGAACTGCCTGCATTTCAACTTATACCCATTTCCCCTTGTCCTGTCACTGGCCACCACCAAGAAAAGCTTGGCCCTTTCCTCCCTGCATTCTCCCTCCATACATTTCAGCTGCTCTTTCACTTAAAGTGCAATTTCCCCATCTCATGTTCTTGACTTCTCCTTCCTGAAGACCCTGTAGACACCTTGGCAACATTACAGTCATGTGAGTTATTCCTCCATCTCTCCATAACCACAATGAGATCATAGCCCTGCAACCGCACAAGGATCTCTAATTCCTCCTGCTTATTCCCAATGCAGCCTACATTTGTGTACAAGCACTTCAGAGAGGCATTCAAGTGTGCTGATTTCCAAGAAAGGGTGCAAGAGGTTTCCTCACAGTCTTGTCTGATCAAGAAGTTTTAGACTATACTGTTAGATCAAGTAACTCTTTGCCAATAAGCCTCCTAAATGGAAAGCACTTATATAAGATGAATGTCATTACATTCTGCTTCTGGTAGAAGAACCTGTGTCATTAAATATTAAAGCCTAACTTAATTAAAGCTCTATGCTTTTCAGAAAGTAAAAATCAGAAGAATTCTGATTAAACATTAACAAATTCAAATATAATAGTAAGATATATTTACAATTTGTACATTTGTATATTGTATTTTACAACATATTTGTAAAATATATTTACAAAATTGTGAAACTGATGCTTGTTCATAAAGTAAAAAGACACGAACACCTAAGTCCAAAGCTTTTTTTCCTCCATTTACCTATTTCTTTGATTTAACTGAAAGAAATGAAATACATTCTCAACCAAAAAATAATTACAGCAACAATTCTTTAATCCAGAATTTTGTCTACTAGCCATTTGAAAACTTGGGAGATACCTGTTGAGCAATATTACTCAGCCATTCCTAGCAACTGCACACAATCTCTCTTAGAAACTATCCTGTTGCTTATCCATAATGACTTTGTGTTCTCCCTGGAATAGGAAGGAAGTTGTGGGTTACAGGAGCACTAAAGGACCTCAGGCCTTCAAGAGTATGACAAAAAGTGCAAGTCCCGTTTGCTCATTTTTATAAAGACACTGAAGTCTACTAAAATAAGTCATTCTCTGGTATTGTAGCTTGAGGTACAAATAAACTAACCTCCATTTTTCAAGTCTGCATTACCTCAGTAGTGTAAATCCTTATTATGCTCTAACTTTGGCCTAAATGCAACAGGATAGTAGAAAAATGAGAAAACGGTTTGCTAGATATTTTTGTATGTCTATTTCCATGACACCATTTTCAATGTACAGCCTTTCACTTGACCCATTTATGGCTCTTTACATGTTTAGGCACCTTGAAAAGAGGACAATTGTTCTATTTCTCCATAACATTAAACTTCACTCTCATGCCTGCCTGTAATATATCCTCCTTGAGTAAAAGCTTATACACTTCTGTTTAACTTGCAGAAGTATTGGATCTTCACTGCTTTTCAGTATCAAAGACTTCTTAACTAATTCTGGCGATAGATATTTATCCTCCTTTTCTCATAACATTTAAATGCTTTGCAATCTTCAGGGAATTTATGTTCTCAATATCTTTGTGAGGCAAGTAATAAAATTACCCTTGTACAAGTGGGATACAGAGTAAATAAAAGTCCCTGGTAGATCAGAGAGTTAAACCCATACCTTTTTAATTTTGGAATAAGCTTTTTCTCTGGTTAATTAATTACTAAATACCTGAAAAATGGATGAGCACTTTCATCTGAATCCACTAGAGTAACTCAGATGTGCTTTATGAGTATATACCAGTAGGTGATGTGTTATAAAACAAGCTTAAACAAAAAATAGGCTTCTGATTACAATGCGAATACCAAGCAAATGACTATTCATTGGGTATTTGTGTTGGGTTTAATTGATACAACATTGGCACAGGATGGCACAGGAGAAAGCAAATGACAAAGCAGAAAAACTTTTTAAAAAATCTCCATCTGTTTCTAAGCAGAAATAAGAAATGAGAGCATGACTCCGAGCCCCATGGTCAGAATGTGATTTTGGACATCGATAGTGAGTCTATGGCTAATGCTTGCATTTGGATTTATGTTGGCCTTAAGGGAGGAAATTCAGCAGAGAAGCTTTATTACTCAGACTACAAGGGCAGAGAGAATTAAGGAATGCTTACCAGAAAACAACAACAAAAAAAAGTTACAGGAAATCCTTAAATAAGATTATGCTCTTCAATGAGCAAGTGTAGAATTGTAAGAAATGAAACTCCCTTGAACATCCAGAGAAAACACAGGAAAATAAGAAAAGAACAGGAAAAGAAAGTGTGTATATTAATACTCTTCTGGATTGATAGGTTGTCACTTAAGACAAAATTTAATATGATGATTTTTCACATTACAAATGAAGGATTTTTTTATTTAGCAACTATGAAGGATTAGTCTAAGTTGTGGAATCAAACTGACTTTTTACCATTTGTGTATTCAATAACAAAAGATTCTGTCACATCAGTCCCTCAAGTACACATGTCTAAACCACAGTCAATAGTTATTTCATCCAGAGAAATGGTTTTAAATTAAAACAATGCTGTCCATTCGGCCATCAAAAATACAATGTATTTTGCACTATCCAAGTGTGTCAAAGGAATGCAACAATTTCTTTTTTCACCAGATCCTCATAACAAATTTGAAAGAAACCAATTTGTCAAGTTTAGTGATTTTCATTCACCTTCTCATGTCACTACATTTTAAATAGTTCTAATACACTTTAGGTTGTAATCACACATTTTTGACAGCAAGTATTTCGAAAATGTCATTTTTGTATTTCTAAATCTCTCAGACTTTCCTTTCATTAACAAGTTTTAAAATTTTGGCTTTTTATCAAAGCTCACAAAAAATAAGTCAGTATATAGAAATTTATTAAGAGAAATTTCCTGCTCTAACTCACAAGCATCTCTAAATAAAATATGAATATTCTATAACTAGAAAACAATGCAATTGTTACCACACAATTAGAGCCCAGCTTATTTTTCTTGCAGATACCTTTGGTATACAGATAAGCATTTAGGAAAACACAAATTTAGAAACAAATTATGAAACATTCAATACATATTAACAAATAATCTTTAGCTTTTTTTTTTTCTTTTTAAATCTGTTCTCTTGGAATCTCTCTGGAGGGATAATATTCCAAGATTGTGGTGACTTTCCAAGATTTTGGTGACTTTCTTTAATCTTTGCTATTATTTCCTGGATTTCTTTAATTGATAATTTAGGGTTGGTCTCCACAACAGTATCAGAAAAGAAATAAATGTATTAGTCCTTTAATATTCAAGTAATGCTTAGATTAACACCTAAATAGAAAAGTCTCAATAAATATTTCAAAGGTGCTGATGTTTCAAGACTGATGCCTTTTACACCCCTTATATCACTGAAAATAACAGTACTTCTACTTAATTTTGTGGGAGAGAGGGTATATTAAACAAAAAACTTGGTTGACAAAGAATTTGCAACTAGGAAGACTGTTGGTACATCAAGAATGTGTCACTACACATGCTCTGTAGATGGAAGACATAAGCTCAGTGTAGCACTTCATGAAATCTGTCAGGGGTTAATGAGTGCTGCATCAACATGGTATGCCAGGAATAGATTCCTGGTCTGCCCAATTAAAACAAAAGGTGCATCACTTTGGGCCTGACAGATTTTTTTTTCTTTTAATTAAAAGACAGTTTTTCCTTTCCAGATCAAAACAGACACAGGACCATTGAATTAGAGCTACTTCTCTTCCTCATCCTGCCTGTAACATACAGCACAAGAAGGAGAGTTATTATTTACATTTAACTTTCTGTGAGCCCAGGGAGTTAACAAGAATATTTTGTCCTTTTAGGGGACATACAGCTGTCACCTGTACCTTTATGAAAGGAAGGGACACTAATTCCCCTCTTGAGACCATACCCGTGCTCTCTTAAAGTTATTTGCTTCTAAAAAGTTCCAGTCAAGACATACAGTAGGAGGGCTGATCTTTTTGGGAGACTAAACTGTGCACATAAAATGTCTCTCTTGTCCACTGCACTTGATAGAAGGCCTCTTGTTTGACACAGGATTGTTACAAGTTAGTATCTCCAGTTACTAGCAGATGTGTCTCAGTGTTGGGAAAATTCCAGCAGTTGTCTGAGAAAGCTTGAATAATATACTCCGTACACCTGGAGCATTAAAAAAAATCTCATTAAATCTCGTTATTATAATAGGCAAAAGAATGCCAAGAACATATTAGCTACAGTATCCATAATGAATATAATGCATAATGTAGTGAACAGTCTGCATTTCAACTGCTTTCCATGATTCTTGCAAGACTAACAGTGAAATGATCTTCCTGGACTTTTAAAAAATTGTTGTGCTTATTTTCTTCTCTTTTCCCCCGTACTTTTGCAATTTTATCTAATAGCTGAATTTCATGTGAAAGAATAAAACTTTTTAAAAAGAGTAGTTTTTAGGAGTGCTACTAAAGTCTTTAGCCACATCTAATCCTAAGCTTCTTTTAAAATATTTCAGGCTATGTCTTAAAGGAAATAACAGTGCCAGCATTGTAGTATACCCTCATATGCACGAAGGTGAGGTGGAACACATTTACTATGTTCTACTATATACTAGTCTCCCATGAATTACTTCAAAACATTTCAAACACTAGGGCATGTTATGTTTTGGTCTTTTAAAAAAATAATGATGAAAAGACCATATTATTTCTTAAATTGTAGCTAAAATCACAATAATACAACAATTTTGAAATGGATGAATCTTGTTTGAATTTGCTTTAGTTGAAAAAAAGAAACACAAGACTAGTGAAGAAGTACTATCAAAGGATGCAAAATTGATAATACTGGACAGTAATTCCTTTTTCACAGGCAGACAAGAGAAGTCCAAAGTCATGCATCTTGTTGAGTGTAAGAAAAAATAAATCAAATATCCAAATATACAGAGTAGCCAGAAAAACACCATACCTATGAAATACACGGCATTACAGATGTATGTAAACTACCAGTGTAAACTATGTAAACTACCAGTGAGGAAAATAAGACCCTTTTCTACTGACTTTAAACAGCTATTCAAACACTTTTTAAGCATGCAGATGTTAGGATTCCCTTCTCCTCAGATGCTGAAGAGCTTACAATAAGGAAACCCACAGTTTTTGGAACAGAAGAGCCTAGCAGCCAGGACCTCCCAGAAGAACATTCTTATATTCCTGTTCCTGAAGAGACATCTCAATGTGTTTTGGTGTTTTTCCCAACTCCATACAGCAAATGTCATTCTTAAAAGACTGTGTCAAATAGGAAGCTCTTGCCAAAAAAAATTCTTAAGAAGAGTTGAACCAAAAAAAAGGCTCACGTCAGTTATTAAAGCGGTGCATACTTTTATGTTGAAAATCCTGATTTCAGTGCACTCCAGGCACTGCAACTGTCATATCCTACAAACAAGACTAAACTATGACAGAGCAATGAGATCATGGTGCCTCTCTTTACACACGGATGCAAGAACTGCCCAAGCATAACAATATTCTGTATTAATCTACCTTAACAGTTGTTTTTTTTTCCTGATGGTCTGTAACAAAAGAACAATTTTGTTCATTTTGCAAATCTATCTATGTCCACACACTATTCATTTTAGTCACTTAACTGCCAAATATGTACAATGAAGTCTGCGTACCTTAAATAATCCTCAAAAATGTCTAAGAGAAAAAACAGAATACTGCATATCTACGCTACAGGAATCTGAATTTCAACATGGCAAATCAAGTCTAGTTTGTGATCCTGAGAGACTCAAAGTAGGCAGGTTACATCATATAGCATTCAAGATCTTTGATGGTAAATGCTAACAACAATTTTTGCTTGGTGAGAAGAGCCAGTCATTTGAAAGCAATCACCTTCAGAGTTTCCTTGCTGTCTCCAGCTATGTAACATTACCTGCCCTTCAAGCCTTTTTTTTCATAGATTAATGTAGCCCTCTAAACAGCATTTACTACTAAAGAGTTGGTATCTATGCGGACAGGAGTGCATTATATAATCCAAACTCTATATTTAAGGAGAAAAAAAGTGAGATACCCATTTATTTTTTCCAGACATGACTTTAAATTTGAAGTATTTATCAGATTCAGCCTGTCACCTTCAATATAGTAGCTTACCCTGGTAGAGAAACATAAAAGAACACTTCATATCTCTGTGGAAAGGAATCTTGCCTTTGTACCTCATTCTCATCCGGTACTGATCAAGATAACTGAAGCAATCTGGTTTGATGCCCTTAGATAAACTGACTAGCAGTTTTCTTCTTCCTACTATCAATGAAAAGCGAAGCATTGGGTTCTGAACTTATCTTATTCCTCTTTTCATTTTCCATCTGCAAAATGATTTCAGTAACATGGAAGATAATTTATATTATTTTACAAGGTACTCCGTCTAACAATTTCCATTTTTTTCCCTAAAAACATTCCCATTGGCTTACCATGGTTTACTTGATTATTTTGATCTTTCTTCTAATTTTTGTTTTAGTAGTTACATCATCATTTTCCCACAGCCACTGCTGTTGCTACTGCTACAGTGCAATTTACTTCATGAAAAGTCACTCACATTTATTTCCTAATTGTGTTACAGCTGTATTTCTCTTTTATAGACATAATGCAGCATGCCTTTCATACCTCCTACTTCACAAGTCAGTGAAATTTCTAATATGTTTTGTTTCTTTATTTTGGCATATGAGTCATTTCACATTAGGGCAAGAAGAGTCATGACAGCACTGAGCTCTGCTGTATCACAGAGCTGCATTTATACTTGACAGCATACAGTAAGTTGTGGGAGCTTGTGTGTGCTCCTCTTTTCTAATGCGCATTCACTCTTCGTTCTTATTCTCCACAGACGTCCTTTGTTACTCCCCACAGGCCTAAAATTTATCTGTTCTCAACCTGACTTTGAGTTATCTGTTGTCTGAATATCCTAGCTCCATGCATGCAACTTTTCCACTCCCTCCTTTTTTTTTTTTTTTTCCCCTCAAGCTGCTGTCTTTTTATTTCCCATTGACTTATCATACAGATAAATGCATGCGTGCAATGTGTTAGTGCAGCTGCCATGTTGGGGGATCTGGACTTCTCCTGCCTCCTAGGGCTAGGATATTCGGCAGGTTACAAGTCTGGCATTTCCATATTACAGCTTCATGGGGGATAATGGACAAAGCAGCATGAGTTCTCTACTGGCATTGAGAACTGTGCCATTTACTATGAAAAACATAAAACTTCTATGGAAGTAGAGGATGATAGCAGCCATCTACTTTATTTTCACATTCCAAAGTTCTTTTTCTAAGTGACAGGAAGTTTCTCCCCAACTACCCTATATTTTTCCCCTCAAGTTACTTTTGTAAGACATGCCACAGCATTTCAGACAGCACTCCAGCATCCTGTCTCCAGCATTAGCAAAACAACAATTGCTTAGAAAAGAATGAGAAACACAAAAAGTGGTGTTCCTTCACACTTTTAAAAAGACACTTGTATACGGATTCAGATTTGGAGGTTGCTGCCAAACTCTTTCCTTTAATAGACATTATGGACACATCCTCTACGAATTTGCCTTTTTCCTTTTGAAACCTATATTATGCTTTTGGTTTTATCATCTGCCTATAATTTCAATTGTGCAAGGAGAAGTATCAAGTAGTTAGCTTATTTACCTTCCTCTGTTCATCTTAAATAACACAAAGAAGAAAAACAGACTTTTAGAATTAATTGGACACAAAGCATACTTTAAAAGGTTACAGAATAAGTGACTTGCTCACATAAAGCACAGCCAGAATTACTTCTGCTTAAGGTAACTAGTAAATAAAAATATTTATATTATCAACCATCTAATGAAAGGTCATAGTTGCAACCATCATAGTTGCTGGGCAATTGATAACAGGTCATACCATATTCTTAATAAATTCCACATAAATACATATAATGGTAAGCTACTATCCCTATAAACTGAGTTCCAAGAAAATATTCCTATAAACTGAGTACTTCAGAGAGAAAAAAAAAATCATGTTTCAGACTCTTCTGAATGGTGTTTTACAAGTTCTCTTATAAGCTCAGCAGTTTCTCCTATTTGAAGGAAAATGCCAGAATGCTATTGTAACAATATTTCCAATACAGAATTCCAAAATCCAAATGAGGAAAGGGGTAAAAGCTATTTTCTATTGCAAAAGAAAAGTGCCAAAATCTTGGAAAAAAATGACCTCCAGGCAAAAATCATAGTTCCCAATTACAAAAACAAATCCGTCAAATGACAAATGACCAAAGCAGCAGTGACAATGAAGAAAAGGAACCAAAGTCATTTTTAAAATAAATTCTACCAAACTATGCTGCCACTGTAGCACGGGGAAAGAAAGAGATCACACTTAAAGGAATATTACTGCCTCATATAAAGTCTTTTTTTTTTTCTTTTTTTTAAACTCCATAACAATTTCCCTGCAACCCCAATCCAAAGCCTCTTAAACTTTGGCTCATAAAGGCAACCCAGAGCTTGCTCTTGCTTCACTGCAAGAACGTTCATTGAACTCTCGAGTCCACATCTTGCATGCTATCAGGCTCCCCAGGCACTCAACATCCAATCCATCACCTTTACTTGAGTTATAAAAAGTTTTATAACCTTTCCATCTTTAACTAAGATTTTCTATCCTTTCCTTGTGCTTTTGCATCAGGAAACGCGGGAGATGCAGGCACCTCTTCACAACCCTCCGGCTTAAAACACTTAACTTGTATAGCAAGTCTCATGCCCTGTACAGCTGCTGGCTGAGAAATTGGCTGCAATCTTACCTCCCACATCTCCCGCAGCCCCATCGCTTCCGCTGGGTACTTGTTTATGTCTCTTTTCCTTTCATGCCCTTGACCCTTTTTTCTCACGTGCCGAGCAGAGCTTGGAGTCACGGTGATGAATGAGATGTGATGATGAGAACCAGCGCGCGGGGCGCTTTCCCGGGCAGCATCGTGGCAGCCGCAGGAGGGGGGGAAGTGGGAATCTGACAGGTTTAGCTTGCTGACAGCCCGTGTTTATAGGCTCTGTAAAGAATACAGATGAAACAGAGGCAAGGCAGAGACGACAATGACATAATAAATCTCGGCCACGGTCTTTTCCACCCAAAAAGAGTGAGGAAATAAAATCAAGTTTGGGATGCTATTAATGGCTGGGCT